GTTCTTAACTATGAATTTTGCCAGTTGCTTCTTCTTCTTCTTCTCTCTCTCTCTCTCTCTCTCTGTCTCTCTCTCTCTCTCTCTCTCTCACACACACACACACACACACACACACCATTTTCTCCTTCCATTTTCTTCTCTTTATCATCCTCATCCTTATTTTTTTCAATCGCAGAATTTAAAGGGTCCCTGAGGAAGCCACGTAAGAGCATAAGAAGTAGACTTATATCGAGTCAAGTAGGTCATCCATGACTCCTCTGGATTTCAGGTGGCAATTTTTTCCCTAGGTACTTTTCCCTTGGTATTCCCTTGACACCCTCCAGCTAAGGATTTAATGAGGCCTGACTCTGCTTAGCTTCCACAATCAAAAATGACTGTGTCTGTGCAGGGCAGTGCGGTGAGCACACAAAGCTTTCCCCATCCTGCTGCCCACCCTCCAGTCACATAAGAAGGAGTTCTACGAGTCTCTCCACATAGACAAATATGGGTTTGCCATGTGGGAAGAGACCCTGAGGCAGCCAAGATTCCTAATATCTAGAGTTACTACTTGTGTATAGTGGCATGTGGTGGAAAAGAGTGAAGGCCCTGGGTTGCCTGATGAATGTTGTGCTTATAAATGCGAATTAGAAGCTGGTCTCCTTGTCTTAATCCAGCACACCAGCCACTAGACCGTACAAGTTGAATGACCTTTCTTCATAGGATTGTTGATGCAGTAACCTGAGCATTTTGGACATTTTAAAACAGGTATTTTGAGAGCGGAGGCTCCTGAGTAATGTGATTGAATCCCCTAGGCCTAAATCTAGTATGACGTTGAGTGCACTTAGACTGTAATCTTTAGGAATGAAACCTATGCCAATTTACCTGGAGGAGAGAGAGAGAGAGCACTCTGGGTATACTTGTGACAAACTCACTTGGGACACAAAGGTTTGTTTTCTTAGAATGATGACCAGAAGGATATTCATGGAAAGGAACCTTCCTTAACAAGCCAATGAAGACACAGGGCAATATGTGGAATGAACAAGATCACAGCTTTATTGATCATTTATTTGTATCTGGGAATGAAGGAGTTAAGTTTCATCTACAAAGTAAATCTGTTAGCTCCAAATTAATCACTATTTGTACTCGGTGGCTAAAATCCTGTTGCTTAGCATAGTAAATCACAACTAGGTCTATTGGATCAGTGGAGTTTTGGTGAGTCTACTCCTCTGTAAATTCTATTGATTCAATGGACCTTCTCAAACTGTGACTTGCTGTGACAAGCAAAAGGAGTTTAGCCAGAAGAACAATACACTTAGGCTAAGCTGAAAACCCACTTTTTCATGAATAGCACAAATAGCCTATAAAAATATGCAAATTCAGGCCACAAGCGTATTTTATTTCAACCTTCCACTCCTTATAAAAAGATGTAAGAAATAAACTACCAGGCAAAAGCAATAGCACATGACCCGAGTTCTAATTATGCAAAAGAACTTTTCCTTCTTGCTTCACCCTGCAGTCCCTGCCGCTTTCCCTGACACACCCCACTCCAAAATCTGCTTGGGAGGATTCCCTAACCTTTTAGAGCATATTGTGAAGGGTACAAATAGCTATAGCTTTCTACTAGTGAATGCTGACCTTCTAGAAGGCAGACACAACTGAATATAGCTCTTGAGCTGAATGCTCTTACTCCTCCAACTTCTGTTTACACCACATGATGGCCAATATGTTTGAAGATAAGTTTTTGTTCACATGAAGGTTCTTCTTGTAAGCAAGACTCACCAGTCATACTCACATGGATGGTCTCCTCATGAACAAAAAATTCTATTTATTATTATTTTATTTGATTTATTTGATTTATACCCCGCCCATCTGGCCAAAAGGCCACTCTAGGTGGCTTCCAGAGAATACAAACAGTAAAATAATACAAAGAGTTACATAAATCATAATTATAACATACACAATACAAAAATAGAACTAAAATAAATAAAGGAGAACAAGAGAAAATCAAGTGTTAGCTGGAGGGAAGGCCTGAATATATAGCCATGTTTTTAGTTGCCTTTTAAAGGTGCCCAAAGTGGGAGCTGTGAGGATCTCAGGAGGGGGATTATTCCAGAGGCGAGGAGCCACCGCCGAGAAGGCCTGGTTTCGTTTCTTTTCCTTCCGGGCCTCTCTCGGCGTCAGGCTCCTCAGCCTCACCTCCTGGGTCGCACGGGTGATCCGGGTAGATCTTGTTCAGTGTCATTGATCATCACATGATCTAAGCCAAGATGGGGAAGTGGAGTCAGAATAATTCCTCTTTGAGTGTTTAGTTCCCCTACGTAATAGCTCTTCCAAACCACTCTGGTTTGGGTCTGGTCTGTACATGAGGTAGAATGAGAGGGCAGAATCCTAACTGGGACCAATTTAGAACTATTTGAGGTTACAAGTAAAGGATTCCGTTTCAAAATACCTCCATGTGTAACAAATACCCTGCAAATAAGTAAAAAACAAAACAAAAACCTCACATAGGGAGAATAGTTCTAACCTCAGTCCATCACCACCACACTTGTACTAACTGACTGAACAAACAAAAACCTCACATATCGGGGAGAATAGTTCTAACCTCTGTCTATCACCACCACACTTGTACTAACTGACTGACTGCAGGAAGAGTTTTGTGAGGCGCTAGTAACATGGGGGAGCATTCAAAAATGCAATTGATTGTCAGCTACCACAGATAGAAATCAGACTGTTCAGCTGCAACAACTGACAACAGTTTTGTCCAGAATGTGTGGCTGTCGAATACAACACGACTATCAAAGAACTTTTAAACAAAATACTGTATAGCTTAAAGACATAGGATGCCAATGGAGAGTTGGCAAAATGGCACTTGTCAGAATTTGGAACCCTCCAATGAAGCGTATTCTTTCCACATGGATTCACAGAGTGCTAAATTAAAGTATATTATTATACACCACGTACAAGAGAAAAATGCATAAACAGGAGGGGAAATGAGAGGTGTGTTTATACAAGGGAATGTTGCTACATGGAACAAGATAAACTAGGATACAACGTTCAGTTCTGCGTTGTCAACTTGCAGTGCTGCAACATAACGTTTCTTGAGCCAACTGCTAGGCAAAGCATCAGTAGTAAAATCTGGAGATGCAGCTTCCAGTGATCTGTGGTATGACAGATGTCATTTCGCAGCTTAAATAATAAACGCAGCACTATTCATCTCTTGTAGCATCTTCAGTGACTTCTTACAAAATGAGGCAAACCAACTTCACACTTGATAAGAAGAAGAAGATACTAATCAATAAGAAATAGAAACGACTCTGATGATCTACAGTGGACTACTATTGTATGTTTCTGCAATATGTCTGTATTTGTTTGTTTATTCTGGAGAACTCTGGCCAGCTGTTTCTTTTCCCTCACACCTCGCAACACTTTAAACAGACCAACAGCTTTACCACGAACCATGAAAGGAGAGCTGGGGATCAGCAGAATGTGGGATCAAAAGAAAGGGGGCAGTGGCACTGGATCAAACCACACTGGATTGAGGGTCCAGTGGGAACACTGGCACTGAAACAATCTGGGATCTCCCTGGGATCACCTCATCTGAAGAGAAACATAAAATAGGGCTGCAAATCAAACCACAGCAAAGACAAATCACTCCAATTTAGACTGCCAGTGCAGTCTTATTCTTATTCTTTTTCTTGTATCTGTGATTTCATCTCCTTTCCCAAAAAGGTAAAACCAGCTCACCCCCAGATTGGGAGTAGGGGAGGTCCTAAAGGTGTTTTTATTCTAGTCCGCTTTTAGTCAAAGAGAGTGGGCTAAGGCTCTTGCTGCTGCTTACCATTTCCAAAGGTCTCATGTAAGCATTGCAGACATTATGGTAGGACGGTCAGTCCACAAGGGAATAAGCTGTCCTTTCTCTTTCATTGTTTAAATACAGATTCTGGTATTTGTTTTCAATTGATTTTACTGTATTTGTAGGCTTCCTTGGGAAAAAAATAAATCTGTATTGTGAACGATGGCTCAGACAGATCTTGGAAGCAAGCTAACTAAAATTATGTCACCCCGTAGTCAGCTTTGACCCCTGCCTCTGCTTTGCACGTTGGGCATGAGATCAGTGTGATGTCTGGCAATGGAGACCTGCCCTTTTCAGAAATGGGCTGATGAATGTGGGCGCAGCTAGATGCCCCCTTTGATAGAGAGTATGTCTTCTTCTCTTCTAAAAACAGGCCATGTGGTTGTAATGGTTTGGAGTGGTTTAGATCGCCACTCAGCTAAGAAATTCACCCTGGGTGACCTTGGGGCAGTCACTCTCTTAGCCTGCCCTACCTCACAGGGCTGTTGTGAGGATAAAAAGAAGGAAAGTCATGTACACCATGAGATAGCTGGCGTAGCAGCCAGGATAGAAGTGCAACAAATAACTTAATCAATAACAAGAGCAGGAGGGTTATCTTACTTGGAACACAAAGTTCTGTGGATAAGAGAATGAGATGCCATCTCTCCTCTAGGCAGAATCATCAGAATGAACCTCCTCCTGCACTGCTAGAACAATTAGATTAGAAATCCCCACTGGCATCTATAGAAAACTTTTCTCTAAGCGTTATAACTATGCAGGGGAGTTTTCACTCACATCGGGAAGAGGGAAGCTATACCTCCCCTATGATGCACATTGCATTCTGATAAGGCACCTCCCCTGGCTATAATTAATTAAAACAAACAGAGAAATGTAGCTACATACTGGGTATCAAAGGAGTATCTAATTTGGCCCTGAAATGCTGGAGAGGGTTCACCTCATGCTAGCTAGCACTAATCCACAAAAATGTTAGAGAAGGGGAGGGTTTCTATCAAGAAACAGCAATAATACTTGACTTAGTTAAGCATTCGAAGTTGTTAGGTGTTCAAAACATTCCATGTGTACTTTCTTGTAATCCATTTAATAACCCTTTAAGGTAAAACATTATCACACACACACACAAACACACACCACTGCAGGTATGGACAGAGAGGGAGGGCGGGAGGGAGGGGAAGGGATGGGGAGAGAGAGAGAGAGATGTTAGTTTAAGACATCTAGTGAGTTCATAGCAGACATGAGATCCAAGTCAGGGTCATCCATATTCAGAGCTCAGTCTATAAGTCCATTCATGCCAGAACCAGCTCTGAGAAGCTCACGTCCACTCTAGATAAAATATTCTAAAAATTTATTCCTTTCTATATCCATTTCTTCTGTTTCTATCTCATACTGCTTCATGGCAACAAAATATTGCACAAAGTTGTCTCCAAACGCTTCCCGGATGCACTCATCTTCCTGAAGCGCCAGAAGGGCATCTTCCAGTTTGAGGGGGACGGTCGCAGCTTTGAAGTGACCTGAGCCCTGGATCTCCTCCATGGCCTCTGGGAAGCAGAGGCCTCTCTTGATACCATCCAAACCTGCTGCAATGGTAGCAGACAGCACGAGATATGGGTTTGCTGCTGCTGAGCCGAGTTTGTTTTCTATCCTCGGTCCTTTTTCGCCATGGCCTTTGAGGTTAAAGGCACAGCTGTTATCATTGCAGGCCCACTTGGCGATCACGGTGTCTTTTGAACTTTTGCTGTAGGTGCTGTAACGTTTGCGGCAGCTGAGCGTTGGGGCCATCAGGCAGCTGAGCGCTGGCGAATGCACCAATAGCCCAGAAAGCCAATGCTTTCCTACGTCAGTAAACTCGGAGGCTCCGGCACCGCCAGAAAACAAATTCTCCTGCCCTGAGCTATTCCAAAGGCTATGGGAGAACATGCCTGCATTGCAAAACCCATTCTCAGTGAAAAAGCTGGCAATGTAGTTGTATTTTTTGGCAACTTCCTTGATGCCCGTTCGGAAGGTGAAGGCATTGTCAGCAGCGCCAATGCCAAATTCTGGGTGGAAAGAGACCTCCATTTGCCCAGGGCCTGTAGAGGAAGAGAAGCTCTCGATGTTTGCCCCAGCATGGTACATCCCGTCAATGAGTTCCTGGATGAAGGATTGCTCGTGGTTATTTAGGAGAGTTGCTGCGGGAAAAGAGATGGTTTTCGAATTTACAATTTCGGCAATGCCATAAATGCAGAACTCATACGTGAAGGCGGACGACAGTGCGAAGCCATTCTCGTGGAGATGGTGCAGCTGCTGCTTGGCGATATATCTGGGAGAAGTCAACAGAGGCTTGCCGGTTACTGTAAATGAATCACATATCAGCCGGGCAGTCTGTTCAGTCCACGGTAAAGTCCGAAATGTTGGAAAATCAGGACACAGGACTATGTCACAGTTGAAATTGGATGCACTTATCTGGTTTATTTCACTGTCCCTTGGATTTAGAGTCAGTTCAAGATAGCCTCTGGGCATGGAAACCCCATGGATTGCTTTGGTCTAAAAAGAAGCAAGAAGAATGTATGACGGTGTTTTAGAGACTAGAAAGCTGGAATTGTAATGTGCAGTGTAAAATGGCTACAATGACAGATTAGATTCCTATATAGGTTCAAATACCCTCTCATTCTCATGCATGGAGAAATGTTTCTTATAATGCATAAATGCATAGTTTCAGAAAAGACATTTCTTCTCTTCTCTCAGTCGAACAAAAGAATTAACAAGACCTAAAATTCAGATTCTGACCCATCTACAGGCAGTCCATTGGAGCCCTGAGGACAGCAAAGTTGCTCTTCCTGTACAATACATGTTGCCTCCATATCCTCTTCTCTGCTGCTTACCTGTGTCCTGGAAATCCCTAAACATATTGGTTCTGAAACGGGGGAGGGGGGAAGGAAGAAATTTTTCAAAAGGTCACAGAACGTGAGACTTTTCTTTAGAACTATCTTTTCCTTTAGAAATATTTTTGCCAGCATAAACAAAGAATTTGTGATTTCTCTAGAAAGGTGCTTCTCTTTAATTTAAAGTAATATTATTAAGTGTTAGTGTTCATTTTAAATTTCAAATTACTTCTTTTTTTAGTAAAACGGGGTTGGAAGATGACAGGAGAGAGGTAAGGAGAGATAAAAATTCCCTCATGAATCCAGTAAGGTGCACGGTGTCAAAAAGTTTGGGAACCACTATCTTAGCTCTTAGCATTGTCAAACGATGCCCTGGGTATCTAACAGCTTGATGATTTATACTTTTATATCAAACTTAATTTATTTGGTCGGGGGGGGATAGGAAAAGATATAGGGTTGAAGATCAAACAAGATATAAACTTAGAAGGTACAGTATTTTGAAGAGGTGCTCCTTCAAGCAGTAAAAGGCATCTGTTCATCATAGCACATAATTTCCCTCACCTCTTTATCTTGAATTGGTCATGCTGTTTGTGACTGGTCATTGGAAGATAAGAACAGGCTTATCTTGCAAGTTTGAGCATTCCTCTGAGGGGAAAATGGGCTAAATGCAGGGAGAGTGCATTCCCCTTAATATTTAGTATGATCCAAAAAAGCTGAACTAGACATCTATACTTTCGACAAACAATCAGGGAAAAATATGTTATTACTCCAGCATCTTTCATGATCACTAAGCATTGGATAAGAGTGTTTGCCTTTGTTGATGTCTAAATGGCAGCTAGTATCAGCAAAATGATCTGAGATTTACAGTTAACAACACCAGTAAAGTAAGATTTTTTTTAAAGCAAAAAGCTTAAAATATACTATTTTACTTCATAGGAAGTTTAGAGTAAAAGCAGAATGCCATTAAATTTCCAGTCACACTAGCATATGTTTCATGATTAGCCAGTGAAATCTGAAATATTCATGACAAGATTAAAGCTTAAGGAGAATGTATAAAGCCTACATGCTGAGCATTACATAAACGCTACACCAAAAGGCCTGTGGAGGTCACAGCTTTCTATGAGCCTGCTTCTGAAAGCTTCAGAATGTGACTTGTATTCACTGGAACACTAGCATAGTCAAAGTTATTATGAAGCCATCTGTACTTCTGCTGTATTTTCTTATCAGATTTAATCACTGAGTAGGGAATGCTCCGTAACTAAAATGGTTCCCATTTGATCAGTTTTGTGTCTTTTGTTATTTGCTCCTGGCCTCCTCATGTAGTTTGCTTCTGTCAAATAAAACAGAATTTTCCTCGGAGCGGTGAATGCAAAAAGATAAATCCAGGGAGGGAGAGCCTTAGATGTGGAAAAAGAACTGAGATTGCCCAGCTTACCTTAATTACCTCTGCATTTCTGCAGAAGCAAAGTCTGGTGAAGCAAGTCAGTATTCTTGCAGGGTACTTTTGAAAGCAGGCAGAAACTGAAACCTGTGCACCCTTGAACTTGAAAAGCAGTGGTGGGGTGGAGAAATTGTGGGCCATGGGCTGGCTGAGCTTCTAGGGGCATTTTTGGTACCCTGAGGCCTGCACAGATTCTGCCCCCCCCCAATCTTCCTCAGAGTAAAATAATTTTTTATTTTTTGTAATTCTCTTTGGGAGATGAATTTGAGGCTTTCTGGAGGAGCAGGGCTTGAATGAAACACACTGGGGGAACTTAACAAGGGACATCTGGATACTTCCAGTTTTGATTTGCAGAACTTTATCTTTGTTTTTACAGTCCAGAGCCTGTAGTCCAGAGTCCATAGCTCTACCATGGATGTTGGCCTGCCTCAGTGGTCCACCCGTGCTGCCCAACCAGGAAGCTTATATTTTTCTTATGCAACGAGAGAGAGAGAGAGAGAGGAACTTACCCGGAAAAAGCGGGAAGGGATGGTCTTTGATCTTGACACCCCATGAAGATCTGTCGCTTCAAACCGGACAAAATGGATATTGTCCCTGGCCATTTGTTCTTTGATATGGTCAATCTCACAGGCCAAATACAGAGGAATGTGACTACTAGGCTTCTTGACATCAGGCTCTCTGTTCTGTTCTTCTAAAATATATATAATTATTATTACTATTATTATTATTATTTTCAAAAAGCATCCTGTCATCACATTGCAAGGTTAGTATTCGTCATCCATTCTGCTATGGCAGTAGACCTTTTCAGCATGGTTAGCTGAGCTCGAATCATCCTGTCATCACAGTGCAAGGTTAGTATTCGTCATCCATTCTGCTATGGCAGTAGACCTTTTCAGCATGGTGCATAGTCTAACTCACGGTTAGCTGAGCTTGAATGCCTTGTTCCCAAGTATTCAGAATCTATAGATACGGTGGCTGCAATCCCAAATATATACTCGCTAAGTGGGAAGCATGAACTGCTGAGCAAAGTGGAACTTCCATCTAACTAAATGCAGATGGAGTTGTGATATGCAGTGTCATATGCAGTGATGGCTGTTAACTCAAGTTTCAGAGGTGCTATGAACCTCTAGGTTTTCGTTTGCACTGTACAAGCACTATCCAGGGTCTTGAACCCTATCGCCCACATAGCATCTTGAATAACTTCTGCACAACTTTTGATTTTTCAGAGAGATGTGGTTTTACGTCTCCACTATTTGGCACCTGGGCAAATGTTGTCATCTGCTAGTCACTAGGGAAATGGTCATTTCTCCTCTGGTTCTGGGTTAATATAGTTTCTGTTCATTTTAGTTTCACCAGTTGCTGGGCCCTGTTACTTGGATTCCTCTCATGTGCCATTTCCGCAGACAGCTTTTCTAGAAGCAGTTCAGTCCTCCCTGCCAACCTTTGCTTGACCCACTGCTGCAATGTCACAAGGGTCTGCCCTCAGGTTTCAGGTTTTAGCCCTGAATTGTCAGAGAAGGAGCAGCTGCTAACTTGGCAGTCCAACCTATGGTGTTCTAATAGAGCTTTGCAGCATACTAAGTGCACTGTGAGAATGAGGAGGAGACTGCTGGGGGAAATATAGGAAGAGCTATGCTGGATCAGAACAAAGCCTGTATAGTCCAGCATTCTATAACCACAGTGATCAACAAGATTCTCCCATGAGACTGTGACCAGGAAAACATAGGAACAGGAGTATAATACTGCCACACATCCTAGAATGCACCGAATTTTGGAACGTAAATGGTTTTACATGGTAGACTCTTACGGGTTTGTGTGAATACACAGCTATAGCCCCTTCTTGTGTGTGTTATCTGTGTTCAGGGCATGGCCACCAGGTAGAAGAGGGTAGAAGCAGTGTGTGGCAATACCATACACTAGATACTATACCTCTATGCTGACATACCAAGTGGATCTGATTTTGAAAGATAAATAGGGTAAGACCTGGTAGGATACTTAGATGGGAGACCAACAGAGAATAGTGGGGATCTTCAGGTGAAGCCGATACAGAATCCTGCCTGAAATCTTGGAGAGTTGATGCCAGTCTAGGGTTGCCAGGCATCCGGCAAAAGGAGGACATGTCCTCCTTTTCAGCCTAATGTCCTCCATCCGGCAGGCAAAGCTAAAACCTTTAAAATGTCCGGCTTTTGTAATATTTTATGTTATAATTTTGGATGAGAGGGGGAGAGGTGGAAGGTGGAAAGCAATTTCTGACAGAGTCACAATCTAAGACACCCCTTCAGGCTGTAAATCAGCCATGCCCACATGGAGCCCTTGCTTCTGGAGGTGACTTCCCGCTTCGTTTTGAGCAAGCTGCACGTAAAGATTAGCAAGGAAAGGAGAGCAAGATATATGTATACACATATATAGATATACACACACACACACACACACACACACACAACCACAACTGAGAGGGAATGGGCAAAACAAAAGGAGAGAGTCAAGAGAGAGTGGCGGCCAGAGAAGGGCAGGATCTTTTTTTTTAAGGGGAAAAAATTGTGGGTTTGCCCAGAGGTATTCGAGCAAGCAGCAAGAGTCGAGAAAGGAGAGCCGGCAGCTAGTAAAGATTGAGGAAGGCTGGCGGAGAAGAAGTGAAGCTGGAGGGAAGGGGAGCCGGAGCCAGAGCGGGGCTCTGCACCAGGGGCCTGCCAGAGAAAGAGGGAGAGGGAGGGAGAAAAGGCGGCAGCCTCCACCACAAAGGGAGGCGGGAAAGAAAGGGGGAACGTTCTTGCAGAGCTCGCCTCGGTGCAAGTGAAGGAGCAACAACAGCAGGCGCCAGGATAGGTTGTGTAATTAATAAAGATTATAAGGTAATAATTGTGCAATTGGCTGTTTAAATAATGTTTTTTGGTATTTTGAAAAAAAAAAGCCTCCATTGGATGTATTTTTATTTTTTAACATGAATGTTCTTTGGTCGGTTCACTAAAAGACATTTATTGTCAGCTATTGTAATAAAATTGTATTGACTGTGGGTTTAATCCGGAGCAATTCAAATGAAACATTCATTACATCCTCCTCTGTCCTCTTCTTTTGTCTATGTCCTCCTTTCGGTACCCATGTATCTGGCAACCTTATGCCAGTCAGAGTTGATAATATGGGCTTAGAAGGACCAAGGTCTGACATAGTAGAAGGCCACTTCCTGTGTTTCTAATAACGCTAGAACATGGGAGCAGTAGAATTGTGCTGCTTTTGTTTCTTGAATTGGGAAGGAATCCAAAGTGGAATTGGGCTCCAAATCAAATCAGAGGTCCCATGCACATCCATAGGCCAATTGCAGTTGTGCTTTAAATGTGTTCTTCCTTTCCTTTCCTTTCCCTTCCTTCCTTCTTTCCTTTCCAATGTGTATATACTGCCCTACTGGTAAGTACCTTCAGTATGGTTTACAGTTTTAAAACCCTTAACACCAAAATAATAACTAAATCAGGTATTTTACTATTTTAACAAATAAACCTGTCCAAATAGTATCAGGCATTACAATATTAGAGTCTGAGAAGCCAACTATAAACCTCACATACTTGAAGCAAAGATAAAAATAGAAACCAGTGACTTAATGTGTGAGGCAGGAGGAAGGTCTTAACCTGGCATCTAATTGGTACTAATGAGGCCTAAAAGTTGAGCTCTCTTGATGGAGCTGTGGGGGAGGGGATACACTTTTGTTCAGGTTCTTCTCTGAGAGTCACCCGTTGTACTATTGTGGGTGTTGACTCTCAGAGAAGATCCTCTGAAGATGACCTTAACAAATGGGAAGAATCATATGGGAGGAGGACTTTGGTTCAGATAGATTCAGCAGCATTGAACTATTAATAACCAGCAGTGCAGTGGTGAATTAGGAAGTGCAGCTGCTCATAATAACTGTCCCCATAGAAAGTGCTCTCACACACTTGATAGTCCAAAATGGAGTCAACTGGATTGAATCATATCAACAATGAAAGAGTGGGTCTTTTGTAAAGCTAATAGCTCTCAGCTGTCGGTGCAGGACCAAACCTCTCTCAAACATTTTGCATAACAGCAGGAATAGCTTGCAACAATACTGTATATTGTTCCTGGGAAGATATATTTGCCTCTAAGCTGTTATGCTCCACTACATCGCTGCTCAGACCCTAGAGAAGCATACAGAGCTTAGTTTAATTAACTAGATTTAAGCCACAGTTCCTTATTCCAGATGTCCTTGTCACCTCTGGTTTAAATCAGATCACACCAAAGCAGACAGGTAGGTGGCAGAGAGGCAGGTAGGGAAAAGGAGACACCTCAGAGCCCAGTGTTTCTTTGTCAGCTTCAGAAGTCATGAAACCAGCAGTGTTACATCCAGACTACACCAATATGCCCCACACCCACTCTTACTAAAGCACAATGTTACCAGCATGAATAAACTGCTGTTAATAGATGTAAGCAAATGGTCTATGCATACTTTACAGTCACACAACATTGACAGATTCAAACACTGGCATTGACGTAGATCAGTGGTTCTTAACGTGGGCGATAATGCCCCCCAGGGGGCGATTTCATTTTTCAAATAAGATAGTATCACCGTGGGGAGGGGGGGCGATGATAACTTCTTCAATGGCTCAAGGGGGCGTTTCTTTCAAAAAGGTTAAGAACCACTGACGTAGATGAGTCAGATCTCCCCCCCCTCTCTCTCTGCTAGTTCCATTACAGTTTTAAACCCAGAAAAACTGGGACTTTTGACTCGGGGGGGGAGAACCTCATCAGACCCAAACAGATTTGATAGCTCTGTAGGGCTGCATATGGTCACATTCATCTGAAACTAATTTTGGATAGTTTTGTATTCCAAGAGTATAAAAAATACAGGAGCCATGTAGCAGAATAACCATAAGCAGAGTTTTGGTTTGAACAGGTGTATTGACTGGTCACCCCGTCTTGCTGGGCCAGGAAGCTAGCTTCCAAATTACCTTATGAAGGCAGTGGAATACACTCTCGTATATGTTTCCTTCCTTCTTGTTTTCACCAGACTGACCAGCCTAAAGACATGCCTTCTTAAGTTGATAAAGAGTGCTTCCTGTGCAAAGGCTACTGGGATGTGTGTGTACATCTTGCTGATGGATCGATAGTCCACATTATTAGAGAAAGCGTGGAATACGAAACCAAGTCACTTGCTGTTCCTCTTGCGCCAGGCTGGTGGCAAAGGACAAAGCAGTGTCTAATTTTCAGGGCCTGCACATGCTTCTTTTTGACTGTGCTGTGTAGACTTCTCCAGCCAGCAGAGTCAATTGCTTTGTTTGGAATCTACAGATAATGCAAAGTGCAGCACTGTAGTTTGGCGTGTGCTTCAGATAACACATAACACTAGTCTCACACCAGTTGTATTAGATTTGGCTCAGAAGCTTGTCTGATTGTGAGCGCAGCCCAGGGTGCTCTTGTTGATCTGTATGCCACTGAACAATCTGGGGCCAGGATATCTGCAAGACTGCTCCTTCCTGTGTGTGTCCGCCAAGGATCTGAGAGCCCCAATGGAGGCCCGTAGTGTGTCCTATCACCATGAGAGATTATGTGCGTGAGTACCTGAGACAGAGCTTTTTCTGTAGCAGCACCCTAATTACAGGACTCCTTCCCAAGGGAAGACAGGCTGACCCCATCCCTGTTGAGCTTCAGGTAGGCAGCCAAAACTGTGTTGTTCCATAGGGTCTTTGTCTTTGTGACTGGTTTTAAAATAAGCTCTTGGAGAACGTTTCAAATCTGGGGGAAAGGAGCTGCTTCTTGTTTTGTTTCTGCAGTTGCAGTCTATTACGCATCGCCTTGGAAAGCCTTGGCAGGCAAAAAAGCAATAAACAAGGAAGGAAGGTTCAAAACTTGGTGTTCTTGCAATTGCACCAGTGCAGATAAATGCACATAGGCTTTTGATATATGTATAGCACCCTAGAATTAGGGGGAGAGGCAGCAATCTAATCACGTTTTGTTTGGCCTGAGCTTCTTTGTACTGAGGAAATATTTTAACTTTCATGAGCATTTAATTTCACTGACCAAGTCATGGCCACCAGTGCCTGGTAGCTTCTGTCGAGTTTAGCTCAATAAGTCCCTACCTAAAGAATAAGAGAGGGGAAGAACCCAACTCACTTTGAAGAATCCATCCCATGCCTCAGAATTGATTGTTCTGCTGTTGTTAATCGCACCTAGGTTGTATGTGCACAGATTTCCATACTCTTAGATGTGACCTGAACACCATTTTTTCTCTCTCTCAAAAAAATTAAAAATTACTTCTTAGAGGAATGAATATAAGGACTCACTGAAGTCGTCCATAAATGAACAGCGGCAGCATGGGGCTTGTGTCCCCAATTATCATCCTGTCCCCTCTCAGTTATGCATGACTGCAACATGGCATTATATTCCTTCATCTTAGAATCAGATTTCCAGACTCTGATTCTTCCTCCGCACATACTGCCCCACCCACACTGAGCATCTGATATAAGATGGGTATCTGTTCCTTGCTTGGTATAAGAGCCTGTCCCCCACCTGTTTAGTTTTACTACTATTTTATAATATTTGGCATTGGCTTTGAATATTATTGTTGTGACACTATTGAGATTTACTTGTCCCGATCTTATTGCACGTTGACTGTGGGTATCATGAAGAGAGGTAGCACAAACAGAGGAAGTCTTGTTGCCATAGCAACATGGGATCACCATCACTTGTGCAAGCCTTGCCATCCCATAAGGAGCAATCTCCATGAAGAAAAGCAACTGTCCAGTTGTGCTAAGGCAACACTTATGGAATCAGCATCATTGTGTCTCCCTAATCTGGTAGAATTTAAGGAGCCGTGGAAGCTCACAGAGATACTGCTTGTCCAGTCAAATGGAGCTGCATTGAACTAATCCCTTCCCATCCCTTAAGGCACCAGTGAGGAACACATTGCCCTCCAGTGTTGCTGGACTGTAACCTCCATGATCTCTTCTCATGGGCTCTGGTCCACCAAACAGCATCTTGAGAGTCACACATTTCCCACTCTTATCTTAATATTGAAGGTGGAGGCTTACCAGGCATGAGGTCATATTTAGTTCCTGGTGCATTGTCCCCCTCAGGTGGGGAAGGTGTCTGTTGTCTTTCAGGAAGTTCTCCCACCTCTTCATTTTGTTCATCTGGCACAGCAGAGCTATGGAGTAGAGGTGGCCTGCCTACCTGCTTTGTTCCATTGGGGTGCCCAGAAAGGACTTCATGGCCACCTCCTCTTAAATGAGGATGAGATGTTTCCACAAACTGACCTGGTTTATCACTAGGCAGTAGTGGAGATGTATGGCAAGAGCCACTGCTGGGTTTCCTACTCTTCCTAGCCCTGGTACTCAGCAAGGGGCTCACTCTCAACAGGTTTTTCAACTCTTGCAGGGTTTCCTTTGAAATCCCAGGCCTGGAGGTCAAAGAGTCTTTGCTGCCTTCTTTTTCCTGGGTTGCTAACGGATAACCTTTGGCCTTTTTCTGAGCCTCAGTTGCACCAGGCTCTTCTGCAACATTCATGGACATCCTGGAATTCTCCCTGTTTTTCACTGGCTCTTCTTTGTCCTCTAGGTCTGTTCTCAGCCTCTGAGCTTCCGGGCTATTTTCACATGGCTTCTCTCTGCCCTCTTGTGGACCTTCTTTTGTACAACAGTCTTCAGCCGGATTATCCTCTTTTTCCTGCATCGCTGGTAAATTCGGAAGACTTTCCTTCAGCTTCCCTTGATCAGATGTGTTTGCAGAATGAGAGGCATCCATTGGATTGCATCCTGCTGCCAGACCTTCTCTCCCTGTGACTTTGATTCTTCTTCTGCGTCTTAATCCACGTACAGGGTTGCCATCAACCTCCTCATTTTCATTTCCAGAAGTACTCTGTAATCATCAGCAAATATCAACAGTGTGCTTCAACCACATGGAATAAGTACTTAGAGATGCATCGCTTTTTAATTTGTAATACACACATTTGATGCATGCAGTGAATGAATGCATTCCAGAACATCCAAAGCACAACATGAGTGAACAACATGAGTTAACATGTCTCAAAAGACTACGGTAAAATGCTCTGGATGGAGGACTTGGAACAACAGCTACTGTGGCTGATAAGGCCAATTCGAGAGTGACAGTCCCTTCCACACTGAAGCCAAATGCAATCTGTCCCCTAGATAGACAGATAGAATGGGAAGTACTAGAGATATGGTATGTAGGATATAAAGCTAATTAAAGTCTATATAATTTATAAACTATATAGTTTACCAGATGTACAACCTTACTATTGTTACATCATTTTATTGTGCATTTTAATGTATATGTATATATGTTCAATGACCAGTGATTATAATTAACTTTAATACCTCATCTGAAAACCCACATGAAATGACTTGGTTTTTAATATTGAAATTATATTTTAATATTTTTGTATTTTTCTTTTAACTCAGCTTTTTGGAGAATGTATGTATTTATATTTGTACTTTTTAATCTGCTAGCATTGTGTCTGTTCAGTTGGGACCATGCCTGTGTATACAGTATATTATTATGTGTACTTATGTTTTAAATTGGTGGAAGTTGGATGATCAAAGGAACTTAAAAGGAACATTTTTTTAAAAAGTCCAACGAAAACCCAACTGAATATTTATGTTGTAAAGACTGCACTTAAAAGGAACATTTAAAAAAAAAAACAACGAAAACCCAACTGAATATTTATGTTGTAAAAAGTTCAAAGGCATGAACAGCTGCTAGTTAAGTAGCCAGTGTTTATATTTCTTGTCACAAACTATGTCACACAAGTGCTGTGCAACAGAACATACAACTGTTGACTTCTTAACTAGCAGCAATTCACTGCTGAGATTTACTCCAGTAAGTGTGAGTAACAAGATTCTGGCCATTATAAAAGTGAATGCTGCACCCCACCCTGCAACCAAAAGTGGCACATTCTACCACCTCAGGAATGCGCTGCCTCAATCTAATGCCAGTGGGTGAGAAATACAAACAGTGACAAGAAATATACAGAAAATAAAGTACTTCATCTTCAGAGCCATATCCTGACTAGAGAGACTTATCAGGACTTAGCTGCCTGTAGGATTCAGGGTTTATCTACACACTAGGAAGCCAATGCTAGATGAACCAAATGGGAACAACTGCCCAATAAATTACAGTAGTTACAGTAGGCGTGTTCTTCTCCTGGAGGCATGCAAAAGCTACTCCTTTGGTGGTGAAAATTCTTCAGGGGACATGCTGGCTGAGGAATTGGACAGCTGTCATCATAAAAAGTGTATTTTCTGAGCTCTGGTTTTACCCAATGGAGGCTCTTTGCATCCCTTTGAGTTCCAAAAAAAGCGAGATCAACTCACTGGAGGTTTTCCCCCTGCCTTCAAAGCATGTTTCTGATGTCCTCTGTGTTAGCTGCAAACACAGCAAAGGTGATGGCTTCCTTGATGACTGCCTATCTTGGAAGCAGTACCCATCTGAAAATTCAGAACCAAGTGTGCCCTGGGAAAATGTAAACTCTTACTGACCTTGAATTGATGCCAGCAAATCATCACCTCAGGATTTCCATTATACATTTTTTTTAAATTGTAGTTTATGTATTAGGTGTGTGTGTGTGCATGTGTTCTCATTTTGATATGCCATCAACTCACATCCACCTGATGGTGACTTTAACAGGGTATTGGAGGGATTTAAGGAATTATTTTACTGTTTTCAATCTTCCTCCCCATGAGTCTTCATAGCCAAGCAGGGATTGAAACCCACGTTGCCTGAATCGTAGTCCAACATTGTTCCACTACACCACACTGGCTCTCATTAATTACCTTTCAATTCTTTTTTTTTTTTAAACCCTCTGGTTTATGAACGTGGAATACCCTACAGCAGGGGTCCCCAACCCCTAGTCTTAGGCCCATGCCAGTCTGCATCCTTGGCCGGACCGGGCCGTGGAGATAGATCTTCTGCCCCTCCCCCACACACTCCCCCCTGCATGCCCACCCACACAGCACCTTTGTGCATGCGCACTAGTGTGCGTGCATGCTGTGAGCACCGCCACCCTTCACACATCCATGTGTGTGCATGCACCATGCGAGTGCCCTGTCCCTTTGTCCATGCGCATGAGTGTGTGCACGTGCCATGTGAGCGCCCCTGCCCATTTGCGCATGTGCGCAAGCATGGGGGTGCCCTCCACACATGGACCCTGTCCCCCCCCAACCATCCTCAGTCTCAAATCGCTTAGAGACCACTGCCCTACAGGATACCTTCTTATGCTCACTACCATTTACAGTGGTTGAAAAACAGCAATAACAGTTGCTTTGTGTTTGGGTCAGAAGTGGTTAAGTAATAAGAAAAGGAGTAAGCTTCTGGGATTTCCCCCTGCACGCTACCACTTTGTGAATGTGAGTACAAGAGGGAATCCTGTACACCATATTGAGTGCTGTCACTGGTGTTGTCAACATTCAGGCTGCCCTCTGCTATGTAAAGCTTGGCATCCTTTATACTGCTGGCATGATATTGTGCAGCAATACTGAGCCCTCTCCTAGTATTTTGAATCATGAACACAAAAGCTCTTATTGTTCAGTAATACCGAGCCCTCTCCTCGTACAGTATTTTGAATCATGAACACAAAAGCTCTGTATCCTACATTCATAAATCAAAAGGTGTTTTTTTTAAGAACTGGATTTCCTGGCTTTTAAAAATTCAGTAATACCGAGCCCTCTCCTCGTACAGTATTTTGAATCATGAACACAAAAGCTCTGTATCCTACATTCATAAATCAAAAGGTGTTTTTTTTAAGAACTGGATTTCCTGGCTTTTAAAAATGTTTTTGTTTAGGAACTGGTTTTCCTGGCTTTTAAAAATGGGAGTTTAAATATACATAGACTACACACAAATTCCAACAGAAATTCCCCTCATATAGAATTACCCAGTGCTAGAGAATCCCAGAAGATGAGAACATGATCTGTACTTTGACTGATGAGAGATGGTGCGAGCGTCTGTGTGGGCGTCTGTGCATGCGAGAGGGGGGCGGACAGGTGTGTGTGTGTGTGTGCATGGGGGTGGGCGGGAATGTGTGCGCACATGTGCCTGTTCCTTCAGCCCCTAAAAATATTGCAAATATATTATGTGGCCTGTCTGTGCATGCGAGGGGGGCCAGACAGGTGGGCTTGTGTGTGTGTGTGTGTGTGCATAGTGGTGGGTGGGAATGTGTGCGCACATATGCCCGTTCCTTCAGCCTCTAAAAATATTGCAAATATATTATGTGGCCCTCCATGTAAAAAGTTTGGAGACCCCTGCTGTCGATCATCCTGACTTCTGCCGTTTGTGTTGTCAACATGCAGGCTGCCCTTTGCTATGTAAAGTTTGGCAATTTTTTTTCCTGCTGGCAACAGAGGTGCATATATTGTGGAGCAATATCAGACCATTCCCTGCTGTTTTGTATAGAGATGGGCATGAACCACAAAAATAGCAGCTGCCCACAGGGAGGTGGGATGGGGTGTCTCCCTACACAGCTGCTCAGTGGTTGGCTTCCAGAGAAGGCAGGGAAGGGCAGCCCAAGCTCCTGGCCAGACTGGCCACAAAAATGGTGGTTCATGGCTTGTAGCTACCCACAAACTGCAAACCACAAACCATTCCAAAACACACACACACACACACACACACACAAAATTGTTTTTTTTAAAATGATTTTGTGCCTGGGGGAGGAGGGGAAACTAAAACCCCACATCCCCACAGCCTGCCCCTTTCCTTTCCACTGCCCCATGTCACCTCCCTGTCTGATCCTGACAGCTCCTCCTCCTCCTCTGCTGCCATCTTAAAGAGACAGGCTGAGATTCCCTTTCAGAAGCTGGGCCTGCAGGCTCTACACATGCCCGGCCTATCAGGTAATAGGTGGGGGCTCGCACAGAGATTGCACTCTCAGCTCCTGGAAGGGAAGCCAGGTCTGCTGTGTCTCAAGACGGTAGCAGAGGCAGAGGACAAAGAGGAGGAGGCAACAAGACCAGGTAGGGAGGGGCAGGGGGAAAGGGGAGGGAATGAACCAGGAAGTTCATTAAATCATTTAAAGAAAGTTCGTGGTTCGTGTTGGTTCAGATTCATCAGTTTTGACCAACCCAAACTAACCCAATCCAGGCAGGGGGAAAGGGGAGGGAATGAACCAGGAAGTTCATTAAATCATTATAAGAAAGTTCATGGTTCGTGATGGTTCAGATTCATCTGTTTTGACCAACCCAAACTAACCCAATCCAATGAATCAGCAATTTTTAACAAACTTCCTGGTTCATTTTTCAGTTCTGCCCATCTCTAATTTTAAATAATGGATAATGAAGCACAATAACCCACATTTATAAATCAGAGGTTTTTCTGAAGAATTAAATTGCACTTTGTCTTTTTTTAACATCTTTCTTCCAACAAATAGAACATAATGATGTAAACGGTGTTAAAATCCAATAAATGCAAATATAATTAAAACGTTCAAAGAGAAAAACTGAGAACATAAATAGAAGCAAACAAATAAAATGAAAACTGCTATGTCTGAAAACAGACT